TTTTTGTCAAAATGTCATTTTTAATGAACAAGCATTAAAAAGCTTGTATGTGCCAGATACTCTCATATTCATGCATTTTTTTTTGACAGGTAATGATTACTATCTCAGGATCTCAGGTATGTTATAGATAAGTGGCTCTACCAACTTCATCCCCAGCCCTGCAACTGGAATCAACAAATTGCTGTTGTTAAAGACAACTTTACTGTATTACTATCAATAATTAGTGTATACAAGAATACACAGTTCTTGTCTGCTTAAATACCAGGAAACATTTCTTTGCTGCCTATGAGAATAGAAGTTGGCAAGTGTTCTCTACTATTATATATACCTGCTTAGGTAATTTAACTATATTCAGAAATGAATACTCTGACAAAGCTACACAATTACAATGTAGTTTCATGGGTTTTAGACTTTTAAAAAAACACCCAGCTGTCTTCTAATGTAATATATCTTTGACAAATACCAAAATTAACATATGGAAAATGAAGTATAATCATCATCAACAACAACAAAGTCCATTTTTTGTTTATAGTTAATTTAGTGATCTTCATAAGACTGTAGATTAGTAATTTACTAATTTAACSTTTTTTGTATTACTTCACTGACTAAATCTTTTTTTTAACATTAGTGCATTATAGTTATACAGAAAAGTGGAGTTCATCTTTGTAAATGCATATAACAAAGTTTGCTCTATTTTAATCTCCAGCTGACTGAGGATTTTGAAGACTAACCAGTTTTCATTTTGAGCCTTTCATTGTGTAGGCAGGATGGTCGTATAAAGTTGCATCATTTTATTGTTTGTATACACATCAATATACATGTAGAAGTAATTTCTGTGGTGRCTAAGGGGAGTCATACTTTGGATCAGAGAAAAGTAGAGGGGCAGGGAAGAAACTATGGTTAATGTAGAGTATTACCTAGATAGCTGAAGTTATTACATTTATGATTTGTCTTTATTTTGGGATTTTCAAAAAATATTTTTTTATTTGTAGATGGGCAAAATAGTTTTRTTTTATTTTGTTTTAAAAAGTGGTGCCAGGGATTAAACCCAGTGCCTCACACTTGCTAGGCAAGTGCTCTACCACTGAGCCACAACTCCAGCTTGGGATTTTTTTATTCCTATTTTTAGATTCCAAAAACATTCTCATTTTAGTGAGTTATGGTGCCCTCCCTAATTCTCTACCTGGCAAATACACCAAAATATTGACTGCTAATTCTGTATTGATTGACTTAATCTGTTTTGAAGTTTGCAGGTTGATGAAACCCTTAACCTGGGTACCACTGGTTTATTTTGTGTATTATATATGAAGGTTTTTTTATTTTATTTTTTAGTTCTTTTCCTCCCATGAGCAGTCTTTTCCCTTTCACCAACCTGGTCTTCACCAGTTCAGTTAAATTTTGACACTAACCATCTGGGGTTAACATAGTCCCCACAGGTTATTACTCAGTCTTACAAGAATGCCCTCACTTCAGACTCCAGCTGCAAATGGAGTGCACAGCCTGCCCACATGCCTGCCCAGCAACTAYAAATTCCATAGTTACCCCAAATCCCATCTCTCTACCACCAATTCCCAGACCTCAGGAAAGTGCTTTGGTGTGACTGGTCTACTATGAAGGATACACTTCAGGAACAGCCAAATAGAAGATGTATAGGTCAAAGTATGGTGGAGTGGGGGACCTGAAGCTTCTCCTCCTGTTTCATACAACATGCTTCCAGCACCTCGAGGTTATTAATGGCATTGTTTTTATTTTGTTTTGTGTGGTGGTGCTAGGGATTGAACCCAGGGCCTTGTACTAATGGTGTTTTCATTACACTGATATAATTGATGAAATTCTTGGTCATTGGTAATTGAAGTCAATCTCCCCTCCCCAGAGTTGGAGTGTGTGGTGGGCTGAGTTCCAGTTCTCTAATCCTCCATTGGTATTTTTGGTCACCAGGCCCTATCCTTAAGCTATTTAGTAACCCCTACAGCCAGGAGTCATCTCATTATCATACCAGAGACCATTATCAGGAGAGTCCAAAGGTTTTCTGAGCTTTGTTCCTGGAACCAGTGACAAAGACTAAGTATTTTTTTATGTACCACAGCATGCTTGTCTCTGATGAAACAGATGCTATGAAGAAGGGGAGGATGGAGTGCAATGTCATTAAAACTCAGGGACTGGGCCTTCACGAGGCTTCTCTGCTTGCCTGATATCTTCTAGAATAGAGTTATTTAGATTTAGCCTGTCCTTTCACAATTTGCCTGATACTCACATGGTTATTGCTACTTCTCCAATAATATGTAAGTGCTCAGATCTTATTTTTTCTTCTTTATTTTTGGCTTCTAGTACTTTTTGTTTTTAGAGTTGGATTGTATCCATGACATCTCATTTTGAAGATTTCATGTTCATCAGAAAACTAATCAGCTATTTTTTTYCYTTYMWTTTTTTTTTTTTTACCTTTCTTGGCTTTCTGAATATGTTCATTTGAGTTGTCCTTATTACTGTGGTTATAGCTTTCTCAGGGAAATTGAAGTAATCAGATGATAGTTGACTAAGCAGTTTGTATGTAGAGTTTTGTCGTTGAATAACCTCAAGGGGGTGGGTTCCAAGATCCTCTGGGGGATACCAAAATCTAAATGTGTAAGTTCTTTTCATAAAATGGTTTAGTATTTGCACAGAACCTCTGTATATCCTCCCATATATTTCAAACAATTTCTAGATTATTTATAATACCCAATACAATGTAAATTCTGTATAACTTGTTCTTATTTTGTTTAGGGATTAATCACGGGGGCTCTATACTTGTTCAGTGACTGTAATTTTTTTTTTTTAAGAGAGAGAGAGAGAGAATTTTTTAATATTTATTTTTTAGTTTTCGGCGGACACAAAATCTTTGTTTGTATGTGGTGCTGAGGATCGAACCCCGCCGCATGCATGCCAGGCGAGTGTGCTACCGCTTGAGCCACATCCCCAGCCCTGTAATTTTTTTTTTTTTCTGAATACTTTTGATCCAGGTTTGTGCCTGGAACCAGTGACAAAGACTAAGTATTTTTTATATACCACAGGTTTGTTTGAATTTGTGAACTTAGAACCCTTTGATATGGATATGCTTGATTAATGAAGTGCTTATCTCAGCTGTTCAATTAAACCATGTGATACAATATTTGGACTTTCTCTAGCAACCCACTCTGGAGCATTATATCTAGCTTCCTTGATTTTAGATTTACTTTATTGTTTTTTTAAAACATTCTTTTTTGGGGGGGAAATAGAGTCATCTAATTTATAAAATAAGCTATTGCTTTAGTTTATATAATCTCRTGGGAACTTTTCAAAGGTATATTATTTCTTGAACACTAGGTGACAGAATGTAGGCCCCAAAATACTAACTTTGGAAAATTCTCTTCTTTATTAACTTACACGTTTATTAACTTATTATTTACTGTAAGTAAATTTGTTACTTAAGTTGTAAGCTGTAAGAAGAAATTTGCCTTCCCTTGTTTCCTGTAATTTTTGTATTGAATTATGTAAAAGTTCTCGCTTAGCAAGAATCTTCTTTGTGAGTGATGAAGAGATTTCAACTGCTGTACTGTCAAATGTCCTTTAATCAACTTTAAAAAAATAATTCAAGCTTTAGTCATTGGCATGTTTCTATTTCCAGAAATATTTTACCAAAAAAATTTTAGACAGTACCACTGGGTTTGCTATGCCAATATTGTAATATTACAAGTTAGTTTTTGTAAAATTTCCTCAATGGGAAACTGGGAAGTTATCACCTTGTCCTTCTGGTACAATTTATTTGTCAGTGCTTTGACCTCGTTAGGTCTCCCATGATCTTGTCATCAAATCMAGGAAAAGAGTGAAACACAATCCCCTCCTGCAAAGCTGCATTCAGTCTTAGATGGGCTGACAAAAGCATGAGAAAGGGGAAAGTGTGAAGGTGGCTTTTTGTTTCTGAGTATATTTGGGAAGAACCCTTATGATTTGTTTGACATCCTTGAAACTGAAATTGGTAGAATGAGTAGTGCTTTTGTCCAGGGTAGGGGTTTCCTGAGCCACCTGTGAGCATCTTCATTGACTACTGCATAAGCCTCGGAAGTATCATAAGGCTTATTGATGTAGAGCTCAAGTTATTTTAATTGGAATAATAGTCTGCATAGTCAACGTGCCTGTTTTTGTTGTTCACTTTTGGCATTTGATTTAAAAAAATGGCATGGAATAAGGTAATACTTGAATCAGTTTCTCACCCAAGAGTAAACAGCATATATGAAAGGTTAACCTGTTGCTTAATATGAAATTGACCAGTCCTCTATATTTTATCTCAATCTTATTTGGTAACTAATTATTGATATCAGTGGAACTAGGACTTAAGATTACCTCATAGAATTGGTCCTTTATTTTTTCTGTTTATCTATGGAGGTTAGAAATTAAAACCTAATAGGATACTTAGAATTCATCTCATTTTACTTTTACACTTTTTAAAGTGAAAACAAAAATGTTTAAGCACAGGATATTAACTTGCCCAAAAGGAAATAAGGATTTACTCACATCGTTGTTCCTTGTTAGTGGCGACTCCCATGTCTTAAGGGACAGATAGTGCTTACTTGAGTTTGTTCCAGATCTTGAAGTGATCTGATAATAAAGATATTTTGTCAGTAAAGAATAGGTAATCACAGACAGGTCACCTGTGTGTAATAAACATACATTAAATGATGATTAGTAAATGTAAGTTTTAGTTGCATTTAGATTAATGAATAAGATTCACATTTAGAAGAAAAGATTTTTTTCTGTTGCTTATCTGTGAGCTCCTTTGTGCATCTTAGTCTGTTCTTTTTGGTCCCTTATTACATTTCATGTTTTCGTTTGTCTTCCCCACTAGACTCCACCTTTGAGCTGTTCGCTGCTGTTTCTAGCACATAGTAATTGATCGACTGTCAAGTTGGTTTATCCTGACTTACATGGTATGTGGGACACCTAGTGTATTATAAATACCTTATGTTTGAATATTTTCTTTTTTACAGTGAACAGAGTATCTGTCAGGCAAGAGCTGCTGTGATGGTTTATGATGATGCCAATAAGAAATGGGTGCCAGCCGGTGGCTCAACTGGGTTCAGCAGAGTTCATATATATCACCATACAGGCAACAATACATTCAGAGTGGTGGGCAGGAAGATTCAGGACCATCAGGTAAGAATCGATATATTTTTACTTTAAGATGATTTAATATACCTAAAAACTTAGTATATTCAGTTTAAAAAAAAAAAGTAGTGCTTCAAAAACTAATGAAAATACACTGTCTGGGAAAAACTGAATATAGGTTTGCCTCCTCACCCTTTCTACTTTTTACAAAACCTGAATTTAGATGAAGATTTGAATTAAATCCTATACAAACCTTCATTCAATCTTCTTGCCTTCCAACTAGCTAGTTTTTATAATCTAAAGTAAAATCAGAACAAACAAAAATGAAGGACTATTTAAGAAACAGAAAATATTGTTAAATTTATATATGATAGGGAAAAAATGGTAGATATTAAGGTTTCAATTCATACCTGGGATAATTCTCTACTCTGTATTTCCAAAAAACTAACTGGATTATCTGATTATGTGATTTCTTGGTCCCTAAGAGATCAGGAGCAATAGTGCGAGGGAAAGGTAGATAGGGTATTATTAGCATTAACTATATACCAATAGCAGCAAAAACTTTTATTTTAGATTTATAAAATACTTTTGGAAAAAAATTATTTTCCAAAGATGTTGGAATCAACAGATGTAAAAATTGTTCTGCTATACATGCAGGAAAAATAAAACAAATTTTCAATGCCCAGTTGAGGTGTTACTTAAAAAAGGTAGATCTCTAGGTTTGCCACTAGCATAGTGGTAGTAGAGTGTGTTAACAGATGCTATAGTACCTTGAGTTTTAGGATGGAAATTATGAACTGGAATAGCTAGGGACTTTGGTTTGTCATATGCATATGTAAGGTTTATGGGCCTATTAAATTTGGGCTGTGAAACTGAAATCTATGCAAAAAACTGGGATTCTCAGGGAGACTACATCCCATAAAAAGAAGACTAAGACAAATCCTTGCTATCAGGGCAGGGAGGCAAAGGAGTTTGTTTCGGTATGACCTGGTTTAGGAACTTTCCTTAGAAATGGAAACTACAACTTAACTCTCACAACTCCAGCTGAGAAATTATTAACAAACACCAGTTACAGATGTGAAACTGTTGGGACAACTGATAAAAGTAAATGCAGTGTACTCCTGGAGAGAAACTGTCACACCTAAAGTCAAGTCTACAGAAAACAACTTAATAAATTTACAGAATCTACTGATGAAGTACACAGACTATCTCAACCTGCCCCTTTTTCGACCTTCTCATGCTACCTTTTTTCCTTAGTTACTCTTCCTTCCCCTTTCACTCTTCTTTCTCCTCCTTAGTTTCTCTCCTTGCCGTTTGTACTCCAGTTTCCCTGCTGTGTTGCATGGCCTTCCTTTGGTGTCTCCCCAGTCTCTATACCAAGAGCCCCCTCTATCCCTTTGGCAGTTCAGGCAGTATCAAGTGTTTTTTTTCCCCTCTTTGTCTTTCCTTCAGCCCCATGTTTTGGTGGTGGATTGCATCAGACACAAGTCAAATACTGCGTAAAATGCTATTACAAAGAAAAAAATGAAAACTGTGTAATTAAAACTTTGTAGAAATTGATGAACATTTTTAAATACAGCATTCTGAATTAATAGCTGTAAAGGGTTAGTGAATAGATCATTTGTTAATACTAATGAATGGTCCTGAAAGTATGTTGACAGAAAAGAAAATGAATATTTAAAAATAAGTAGAAAAATATTTGTGTAAGCCAGGAAATTTCTATATGAAACAGTAAAAATTTGTAATTAAGCTGTTCTGTGACTTGGATTTTGACAAATAAGTGTTTCTTAAAATATTTGAAGTGCCAGGGATACAGCTTACTTGCCTAGTAGGTGAGAATCCCTGGGTTTGATCCCTAGCATGATCCAAAAAAAAAAAAAAAGAAATTAAAAGTCATGCTTCTAAATATTTGTGACTGTAAGATGAAGTCATTATGAGCACTAGGAAATATTTGGGAAATAATACTTGGACCTTAGTGATAAGCTACTACATATAGAAACTGTGGGACATCTAAGCTGTCCTTAGATAGACACAGCTTAACAAGAGATTCAGGAAGACAATTTGATAAAATTCACATCAATTCATAATAATTCTCAGCCAATTAATCATAAAAAGTTTTTTTAAGCTGATAATGTGGATAATATAAAGGTACAGCAAATATTTTATTGGATTGTGCAATGTTGAAAGCATTTCCATTAAACTGTGAATAAATTTAAGGTTTCAGCTTTAATCACTTTTCATTTAGTGTTGCAGAGGACCTTCTAGTTAATCTAGCAGTTCAAAGATGAAGAAATAGAAGGTTTAAGGATTGAAAGGAACAGCTGGCCTTATTATTCATCAATGATATAATTCTCCGTATAAAAAATATCCTAAGTATCTGCAGATAAATTATAAACACTAGAAAGATTGTTAAGCAGGGTTATTAGATACAAGACCAGTATTTAAAAATTAGTAACATTTTTGTATAGCTAGCAATTAGAAAATAAAATTTTATAAGAATGCTAGCTAAAATAATAAATGATAATGTACCCAAGAATAAATCTAATGATAATAGATTTCCTGTCATTTCAAGGTACATTGTTGCATCTCTTAAATGGTTGTTGCCAGTGGAAGCACATTGTTATAATTTACTAAAAACATCCAGTTTTTCTGTAGTAATCACTGTTTAAAAAGCCACCCACCATTTATTTGTAAAATGGAATATATTCAAATTATTTCATTTTCTGTTTAATGTTTATTAAGTTCTTAATATGTCTAGGTGCAATACCTAAGTTTTATATAAAGTTTCTGACCTTGAAAGATAATATTAAAGAATGTGAATGTTAAGTTTGTAAGCAAAGACWTACTGTTAAATGTTTCAGTTTTGATAAATACAAATCATAGTACAGCAGAAGTATAAAAGAATCACCAGTGAGTAGAGAAGATTGGCAAAGGGGTCATGGGTCTTCATAGGCAAGAGTAATACTAAGCTAAGTCTCAAGGAACTAGGTGTTTGCTGCACTGCTTACTCTGTTATGGTCAGACTAAAAATGTAGGACAGAATATATCACATTCAGAGTCAGTCTCACTGGGTGTGAAGAAGCATGGAGCTTAAGTTTATGATGAAGTATGATCACATGCTTCATGGACATTTAAATCTTTAAGTGAAAACATGTACTTCCTCTTTAAAGATTACTTAAGTGTTATTACTTCTTAAAGGTTAGATGAATGAAACAACTGATTCAAATTAAACCATTTTTATGTTGGAAGAATTGAACCATTTACCTAATATAATTTGATTCTAGMAAAAAAATGTCTTTACCTATTTCTCACATTCAGATACAGAAAATTTAAAAACTTAAGTAGAGCCAATTTTCTGTCTTGTCTGCTGTTTTTAAGCTATTCACCCAATGGAATATAAATTTGCCATATAATGGGATTATTTTCCAATACTATGAAATTATGGTGGCTTTGGGTTTCTAGTAGCTAAGGATTTGTGGTCCCATCTCTGTATTTATAAAAACCACACAGTAAGAGGTCACTATATAGTTTTTATTGTGACAAAATATACATAACATTAAAATTACTATCTTAACCATTTTTAAGCATTCAGTGGCATTAAGTACATTCACATTGTTGAGCAGCCATCACCACCAGCCATCTCCCAACTTTTTTTTTATCACCTCAGACTGAAATACTGTTATCTATTAAGTAATAACATTGCATTTTCCCCTCCCCCATCCCCTAGTAACTACTTATTCTGTCTTTATAAATTTGACTCTTCTAGGTAATTAGTATAAATGGAAATATACCATATTTGTCCTTTTGTGTCTGGCTTATTTTACTTAATATCTTCAAGAGATTATTATGATTTAAAAATAAATTCAAGCTTGGGAATTGATGGGGAAGTTAATTTAGGTAGAACCTGTCTGAGTACTAAAGCAAAGGCATAGAATATTAAAAAGAAAAAAATYTATTTGGAGAGTTTATCTGGCAGTGAAGAATTATTGGTCCGTGATCTGACAGAATAAAGAGCCAGAGAAGTAAGCCCTGCTTTCTTCTGGCTAAGATCTCTGTTCTCCTAGAGACATAATGTAAGTTTTGAAAAAGGGGACTGAGGATAGAAGCAGTGTTTTGGAAGATTGACATCTGGGTCAAATATAACCAAAATTAGAGTTTAGGCTCTGCTAATAAAGTGGGGGGATTGTCTTAGTATTCTCTCAGGTCATGAACCCAGAAGCCCATACTGTAGGAAGAAGTTTGATTTAGAATTAGACTGATCTTTACAGGCACTAATTATTTCAATCACTGTATAGATAAAGATAATTTGAATCTGTTAGTTTTCTGAGCTGCCTGCCAGAAGCAAATGTAAGTCTCTCTGGAAAAATTTTAACATCATTGTAGGGCTCAAAATTTCTATATATTTGTCTATACCCAGTGTCTGACACTTAATCAAAATATCCAGGCATACAAAGAGACAAAAAGAACAATCATAGGATAGACCTACTGGGTAATGTAGTTAATGGTATTATCAGAAATGCTTTTTTTTTTTTTTAACAAGATGTCCCAGAAGGCAACAATTTAAAATCAGATAATCAGTAATCATAACTAAATACAAAATTTCATGTAAACTTGCACTTCAAAATAAAATCAGACCCTTGCAACAGAATTGCCCAGGAGTTTTTTTCTTATATAAAAACAGTTAATATCACTTTGCAAAATGCATACAAAAATACAGTATTAAAAAAAAAAAAAAGACTCACCTCAGCATAATACCCAGTAGCTTATAAAACACAAGCTATTCAGGTGAGACATTAGTGACCTGTTCCCCACCTATCCTCCCAAGACAATTCCAGAAGTCAGTTGGCTCCTGAAAATCCAACTCCAGAAGGTAGAGGCTAGCTGTAAAACTTTCACTTGAATTCTGAGGCCAGGAAGCAAACTCACAAAGAAATCATTGTGTGGACTCTAGGTTTGGAAGTAGCAGCTGGTTTTACAGAGCCACAAATTGTGCTTTCCATTCTCCCACCCCCTTCTGGGCCGCAGAGGGCCTGGTTCTTCTCCCAAGACAGGCTTAGTGGTTTCTTGTGATTGCCAGCATGACACCTGCTGGGTTGGGTGACTTTCGCAGATTGGAGGCTGCACCTGAATTTCACTCAGAGCTACAGAGTCCAGTTGGGGCAAAATCCATCATGGTTGAGAGATGCCTGCGATTAAACAACTCAGTGATAGATGGGGTTTACAACAAATTAGAAAAGATTCAAAATAATTGGTGAACTGGAATATAGGTCAAAAGGAACTATTCAGACTGAAGGCAAGGCATCTAAGCAAAGATGGGATAACATTWAAAAAAAAACCTAAGATACTTATGGACTACTGAGAAAATGTATAATATATGTATAGGGTCCCAGAAGAAGAGGAAAGAATAAGACCAAAACAATAATCCAAGGGACAGTGAACAAAAATTTTAAAAGTGATGAAAGAACATCAGCTTAGAAATGCTATAAAACTTAAGTTTGATAAATACAAAGAAAACTGTGTGTGTGTGTGTGTGTGTGTGTGTATCCATCATATTAACCACTGTAAAGTACTTATAGCTTAAACTCTTTAAGAGAAGTCTATGAAAAAAAACTTTTTTGAGAAACAATAAGCTATCATATGGAATTGGGGATGCAGTTTAGTGGTTAGAGTGCTTGCGAGCATGCATGAGGTCCTGGGTTCAATCCACAGTATCTCCCCCAGCCTCCCCCCAAAAGGAATTAAAGAATAGGCAAGTAAAGCCAAGTAAAAAAGAAAAGCCAAACACATGGGCATCTCAAGAGATGTCAAAAAAACTCTTGATAACGTGCAGTCATGGTGAAAACTCATAGCTTTCAAGGAATCAGAGTACTTCCCAAGTCTGATTAAAATTATGTATAAAAGTATTATGTGAAAGATTATATTTAAGGGTGAATTTGAGAAAGTTTCCCCTCTAATATCAGTTCAGAGGAAAAGATACTTGATATCATTATGCCTTTTCAGTGTTGGATTTCAGTTCCTAGTCAGTGTATGAAGGTAAGAAAAGAATTAAAATATATAAGAATTGGAAAGCAAGAAATAAAGCTGATGGTTTTTTTGGATGACATGGTTATATAATTGTGGGGGGGACCTGAATATAATCATTAGTATTAATAGTAGATTAAAATAGTTAGAATTTATAAATAAATTAAGTTAATAGTAGATTAGAATTAATAAATATTTTAACAAAGCTGGGTACATTATCATTATGTAAAAATCTTCAGGTTATAATTTATCAGATACAAATTTATTAAATACAAAATAATTAGAGGGTGGTATATGATATTCATTAGTTAGATTAATTTTATGGTATTATAGATTGATCAGTTCTATCTTAATCAAAATCCCAAAAATTATTGGTGGAAATTGACAACCAGAGTATGAAATGAAAGCTTTACATGAAGAACTGAGAATAGCCAAAGTAATATTAAGGAATGAAATAAGAGAACAAACTTTAGTGGCCTTTGAAGTGGCATTAGGCACTATTGTGTTGGCAAAAAGTTAGGCATATTGACCATTAGGGCAAAATAGAGTCATAAGGACACTTGATTTATGAAAAATTAAGCCTGCAGCACAGTTACAGATGAATTGAATCAACTGGACAGCCATACTGAAACAAATAGGAACTTGAACCCTATGTCACATCATAGGCATAAATCAATTCCAGTTGGATTGGGATGCAAATGTGAAAGGTAAAACAATAGAGCTTATATAAGTTGGCATTACATTTTTATGACCTTGGGATTGAGAAACATTTCCTAACAGGACATAAACAAGTATTAATAATATAAAGGAAAAGATCACTATTTTGAACTGAATAGAAGTGAATAAMTTCTGTTCATCAACACACTTCTAAGGGTGAAAAGGTAAGTCATGGAATGGAAAGAGATAATTTACCACAATGCAGAATGTACAAAATGCATGTACAAATCAATGAAGGAAAAGATAGACAACTCAGGAGAAAAATGGGCCAGAGATTTATTAATTTAAGCAAGTATTCACAAAAGAAAATATCTTGATAGTACAGGGAAAATACCTCATTGATAATCAGGGAAGCACAGGCTAAAACATAATAATAAAATAGTTGTACCTCAGAATTGCTAAAATAAAGTGCAGCTGGGGATGTGGCTCAAGCTGTAACGTGCTTGCCTGGTATGTGCGGGGCGCTAGGTTTGATCCTCAGCACCACATAAAAATAAAATAAAGATGTTGTGTCCATTGAAAACTGAAAAAAAAAAAAAAGAATTGCTAAGATAAAAATTACCATAACTGGTGTGGCATGTTGAGTAGTACAAACTGTTGTATGTGGCTGTGAGAGTGAATTGATAACAACCAATTTAGAAAGCTACTTGGAGTTTTCTACTCAAGTTGAACATACATATGGCCTGTGCTAATTCTACCTCTGGGTATAGACCCATCAAAAATGTATGTTAGTGTATACCAAAAGACATTTAGTAGAATGTTCATAATATCATTGTTTGTAGTAACCCCAAACTACAAATAGTCCAARTGTTCATTAATGGGCAAATGAGTAAATAAACACAACTTATACGAAGGAATAACACATAAAGCAATGAAAATGAATGAAGCTTAACTGCATGCAACAAATGGGTGGTTCTTATAAAGGTTATTTTAAAGAAAAGGCAGATACATTTATCAAACATAATGTGTAACTGTTCTTGTATAAAATCAAAAAACCTGCAAAACTAGTGCATGATATTGAAATGTGATTAGTGCCCTTTTGGGGTTGGGCAGGAGTCTTTAAGGCCTTTCTGGTGTTAGTATTTTGTTTATATGTTTATATTACTTCAGTAAACAAAATAGAACTTATAACAAATGAGAGGAACAGATGTGCTTTTATTTTGCTGATATATACATATGTGTGTGTGTGTGTGTGTGTGTGTGTGTGTGTGTAATTTTTGGGGGGGAGGGTACCAGGGGTAGAACCCAAGGGGCACTCAACCACGGAGCCACATCCCCAGCCCTTTTTGTATTTTATTTACAGACAGGGTCTCACTAAGTTGCTTAGTTTCTCGCTGTTGCTGAGACTTGCTTTGAACTCTGGATCCTCCTGCCTCACCCTCCCAAGCTGCTGGATGTGGGCCACCACACCCGGCTGTTTTGTTGATTTATTTTTTAACCATCAGATGGATTAACTTCTGTCAGACTTAGAACTGAAAATTGCTTTGACTCTAGATTACTGTTTACCATTTTTGACAAGGTATATTAGGAATAAATTTGAGTGAGTATGTAGTTAGGATTTGTCTATCTCCTTGATTTTGCCAGTTATTAGCTTGATCTTTATAAATAATTATTGTCTTTTAGGTTGTGATAAATTGTGCCATTCCTAAAGGGTTGAAGTACAATCAAGCTACACAAACCTTTCACCAATGGCGAGATGCCAGGCAGGTGTATGGTCTCAACTTTGGCAGCAAAGAGGATGCCAATGTCTTCGCAAGTGCCATGATGCATGCCTTAGAAGTGTTAAATTCACAGGAAGCAGGTAARGTATCTGTACTTTCCTTGTGTTCTTAAACTGAAGTGCTTTGGATACATTGAAGCAAATCTTTTTGTCAGCCTTTAAATGATATATTTATTTCAAGTAATTCTTGAATTTCTTWTATTTTCTACAAAAATGTGAACTTATGTGTTGACAGTAATAGTCTAGAAGGATGATCCTTTGTTTTTAACCTTCACATATGAAGCTATTTAGTTTGGTGACTCCTGCTGTAACAATTCAATTTTTATTGCTAGAACATGAAGTCATACAGTAGGAAAGAATAATGCATAATTATCTTTTTTTTAACTTTTTTATGAGGAAACACACTTTTTCTGAAACATATTTTTTAAGCCACTACTGAGCCCATGAACTTCAAGTAGAACAAGTTCTCCTTCCTTGGAGATTAAAACCTAATTCCAAAAGTTATTTGAAGTTTRAGGAGTGCCCTCAGGTGGTACAAGCAGGGAATTGCATTTCTTCTGATGCTGCCTATTGCTTAGAAGATGTTTATGAATAATTCACTTAAAAACCTTAGGGTTTAAAGCTGTATTTGTGTCATGGATAAGCTCAGTTTTGTTTGGTTTATGAAATAAAAAGAAATACACCAATGTGTGCTTATTTCTTTGGGGAAAATAGATTTTATAATTTGAAAAATGAATGTTACATTATAAAAACAATGCAAATGATTACTCTTTCCAGTATTGTGTGTTCAGTAATGATTCTAATCATATAACTCTGTTATGAGCAGAATTTATATCTTTTAATAGGAAGAGTTATTCAGACGAAAATTCGATATTTTGTGGAAGGTATAAAATTTTAAAATCTATTATAAATCTATTATAATATTATATTTATACCTTGCCTTATTCCAAAAAGGGGATTTAAACATTTAATTCGTGTGTTATAGTCTACTTCACATGTGACATTTAGAGCAAGAATTTTGGGATCTTACAGAAACTTTAATGTTGTTCTTCCTGTACATGAGGAAATCAATATCTATAGGTAACTTGTACCTTATCATGTTTTATTTATTTTGAGGAAATAAACCACTGGAACTCATTCTGATTTGTCTCTAGTTATTGAAAAGAGCATAGGAAAGTCTGTATTCTCTCTTGATAAGTCACTGCTTTTCTTGAAGGCATCAGTATTTTATTTTATCAATAAGAAAGTATAGAATTGCTTTTATTCACCTTAGTTTTACCATAGGGAAGAAGCTATAGTTGTGATTCTTAATATTTTATTAAATAGGTCAATTCCACAGTTCAGAAAATAAGTATGATAATATTTATGTTATCCATGTTTGACACAGACTACCATTATTTTTATTTCTGAGTTTTCAGATTGATATTAAGAATTAAATGTTGTTTAGCATAGTTCAAAAGAATGTTCATCTTGTTATTTTTTTTTTAACCAAATGGAAAGGATTGTTTTTATCAGTGAATAGTCTCATAGTTTGCTTTCAAAGTGCAAATGATAATAATGCTGATCCTTTGTAATTGTCTTAATGTGAAAAGACTCAATTACATTCTTTCATTAAAATTTAATTTATTCTCTGGGGATTGAACCCAGAGAAGTTTAATCACTGAGCCTTATCCCAGGTCTTTTAAATTTTTCTTTCTTTCTTTTTTTTTTTAATTTTGAGATGGGGTCTCCCTGAGTTGCTTAGAGTCTAAGATGTTGAAGCTGGCTTTGAATTTGGGATCCTCCTGCTTTGGCCTCCAGAGTTGCTGGGATTACAGGCCTGACTCAGTTATATTCTCTTGTCAACTCATTAAGAAACAATGTTTCACATATAGAAAGATTGGCAAAATAGGAGACTCACCCATCATTTCACTAGCTACAAAATCATTTTGGTCTGCCAAAAAGAAAAAAAAAATTAATAGAGTTCTTCTTAGTTGACTTTGATACTCTCTTTTCTGTCACAGTCTCAACCAATAATACTAGGGACTAAGGAAACAGAGATAATGGGGTTGGCACGTGCCTGTAATCCCAGTGGTTTAGGAGCCTGAGACAGGAGGATTTTTTTGCAAGTTCAAAGCCAGTCTCAACGACCTAGCAAGGCCCTAAGTAACTTAGTGAGACTCTTGTCTCTAAATAAAACATAAAAGGGGTTGGGGATGTGGCTCAGTGGTTAAGTGCCCCTTGGTTCAATCCCTTTTATCCCCCCCCCCAAAAAAAAAATAGAGGAAGATAATGATGGGAGGAGCTGGTCCATGTTAAACATCTCTGCACTGTGGATCAAGTCACTGGCAAACAAGCTTTTGATTCTTTAGWTTTTTCCACTGGAGAAAGCAAAACATTATAATGGTCAGTGTTCTAAATAGTCTGATATATTTAGGAAATCCCTGTTTTCATAAATTACTTTAAACATTAATTTCTTATTTTTTATGGTATTAACTGGCCCCAGAAGTAGGAACATGGAAAGAGGTTGATATTAAGAATCAGCAAGAGTGTCCTTGGAAAGGGTTATAGTTTCTTGTGCAGATTAAAGTAGAACATGTATGTTTCTTACTGCAGTATTATTATTTAGATTCCCTCCCATTCACTAAACAAACATACCAAATAATATCACTTCTCAGTATGCTCATATCTCCCCCTGCCAAAGCTGTTTGCATTGGGTTCCCAGCCAATTCCCTGCTGAAATTGTCTACTGTCTTTTTTTGCCAAAACCAAGTTGAAAAAGCTTAATTTGCATGTCTTTTCCCTAAACAAATAGCCCAATAAAACTGATGAGAAACAAAAGAATATACTCTTTCATAAAAGAAAAGCAACTACAGTCATCAGTCTTGCTTATTTTTTAAYGTTTTACCACTTTTTTAAAAAACATTTTCCAGTATTTAATGTTTGTTTTTGTTTTATTTTAAGTGTTGTCAGTATTAACTACTGTCGTTGTGATTTCCAGACTTTTAAAAGTTGTGGACACCTTTGTTAAAACAAAATCTTTTGCTGAAGCTTGGTGTATAAATGCAACCACTCCCTCCCCTACAAAGGTGTTTTTCTGATTAATGTAGAGTTTAGGCCCACTGCCACGAAGGTGCCTACCTGTATGGTTCATTAGAGGAGGATATGACAATTATCCATTTTTCTTGGCAAAACCAACAATCACACAATCATACTTTCCTCTTCCCCTCTCCCATCTCCCAAGTCCTTTAAATCCTCAATTTCTTTTAAGTTAAGGAAAAGCATCTTCCTTTGAGTCTAGTTGTTGAGACCTTTACAAGATGCTGTGTGTGTGTGTGTGTGTGTGTGTGTGTGTGTGAGAGAGAGAGAGAGAGAGAGAGAGAGAGAGATCATTTTTTATGAAAAGGGTGGGTGGCAGAATGTTTTTCTTTATTTTGTTTTTAACATGGTGTGCAATTATCTAATATACTGGAAAGTACAGGAGGTGCTAAATACAGTGAGTTATATTTGGAATTTAAAAAAAAACATCACATGTACTAACATTTTTGAAAAAGAGCTGAATTAATGCTCTTCCTTTTAGACCAAATGATACAGTATATCTTTTCTCCAATGGAAGTTGATTCCATTTTAAACAATTGTACTATTCAGACTGATAATTTCATTTGTATTATTTATCATGTACATCTTTAATTTTTTGTAGATAATAGTTATGGGTTATGTAAAACTGCATTGTCAGTCCTTATGATGATTGTTGGAGATAAATTCGCACAATGTTTTATTTTATAAAAGGCCTAAATCATTTAGAAATGGGAATACTTTTTAGATCCATTTTTTTTTTAAAGAAAATGATATACATAGCTAGAAAGATTATTCTGCTTTTGTTCTACTCAGTCTAGATGAAGCAAAGCTTTCCAGAAGGAAAACCTTAAAATACCATTAGCTAAAAGACAACTTTTGCTAGATTTATTTTTCTATTTTTTGTCAATGAGAGCACAGTCAAAGATGTTTCCTTATGATTAAAATTTTTATCAGATTTTATAATAAGTATTGAGACTTCATTCTTTTTTTTTTCTCCTTTAGTGGTAATTTGGTCTGATGTTCCTTCCAGTGTGAGTGTTTATGTGACTTTTATTGTCAGAATTATTTAAACTCTTGGTAATATGTTTGGAATTAATTGGATTTTAAAATCTCAAGAAGTTTCTAGAAATAGTTTGTGTATAGTAGTAATCTTATTTTCCAGTCTTTTAGATTGATGATATTCATGGGAGCAGTATCATGCTTCTGTCACGAAAAATGCCATCAGCTAACAGGTTTTGGATATAAGTTCTGTGGTAGGCACTGGAATGATACTAACATGATAAAGTCTATCCCTTCCCTTCCACAACTTCATAACTGGGCTGGAGCTAGCTAGAAAGAAGGCCAGCAAAATTAGGATGCAGTCTGTGAATGGAGTATGAAGAAAGGCTTTTGGCATACCAAAGAAAATTCTAGAGCAAGGGAAAGCTTTGAGGATAAGATGTTTGAGCTGTTATTTGAAAAAGGATTAGACCTCATCAGTGATAAAGCATTTTAGAAAGACTTGGATACATGAGAATGTGGAACAGTTGGGAAACAACAGATAAACTATGTTGTGGTTTGGCCCTGAAAGATTATATGGTGTGAATCCCAAAAGAAACGACTGGAAAGGTTGTGAAGGGCTATTGTTCTTGCCRAGTAGTAGTATGAATTTTATCATAAGGAATCATTGAAGAGTGTTCAATGAATGTTTGATATGATCAGGTTTGTGTTTTAGGACAAGTGTGATGGACTGGTTCCACTGCCAAGTTACATCATGAAAACCAATTGTGATGATATTGGTGACATGGTAGAGAGACAAAAGGAACAGAGTGAAGAGGAAGTGACCAAATTTTACTTTGTGCCTCCTCTGTCTGTGAAGGCGTTGTTCTAGCCTTTTGCATGCATCCTCAGTTAGTCAGTTTCTTCTTACCATGTCAATAAGATGTAATGCCAAGAAAGAGAATATTTTGAGATGACAACTATGTGTAACAATTTGGGTCACTGGTGAAGGATGGTACCATTAACCAGAGTAGAGAGGAAGTGAG